GCCGTTGTCTTTTTGAGAATAGTCGCCATTCAAATTGCTGAGAAAAAACGGTATTTAAAATAGGTATGTATGTAAATCTATGCGTAAGTAAGCAAAATATAGTTCAATTCACCTCGTATAACAGTCTGTGTACCACCAAGCTCCTCTCCAACGTTCGGCACAATTAATACCAGGGTTTGCATCATTATCTCGATCGAATGTTGAGAACTTACTGCCTTCATGATACCTTAAACCGTCTCGAGCATTTCCTGTGTAATTACCAAGAGTTCGCAAAACATAATCTTCCTCTTCGCTACCGATGACGAACAGAACATATTTTGCATAGTACTTTGTGCCATTGGATGCTTCCGTTTTTATGTACAACTCTTGTTCACAACTTGCGGTTAGAGCGTGCAATTTATCCAAACCAATCCAATAATTGCCCGACAATTCACCAAATCCTTGCTTATATTGTTGCCAATCTCGATAGAAATCCACTTCCGCACTTAGGCGTCGCTGAATGACAATCCAACCGCCAAAATCCGTTTCCTCATCACACCACACCATAAATGGCTCATCACCAAATAGCTGAGATTTAATGGTATATATGCCACTTTTGCGCGTACCAGCGGCTGCCTCCATGCAATTGGTGGGTCGGCTTGGACTATTTTGCAAGGAAGAAGAATTTTAAAATTTTTAAATTTTGGAACTACAGTGTAGACAATGGCATAACATAGCAGATAGCCTCTTTTGCTCAGCTTGCAGCTTTAAAATTTGTGCCTGACTTTGCTTTACAAGTTGCTGCAGTGACTCCAATTGGGCGCTGAAGTGTTTAATAATGTCAATTTCGAGATCACAGTTGCAGTCGCAAGTATCTTCCAGTTCATTGTTTTGACTTGAACCAGATGTTATTCCGAATATTAAAATGAAGTTCAGTAGTACTTGTGTACGCGCTGTGAGATGCATACTTTAAACGGACTGTAAATTCTAGCGACTCGCACAACGGAGTGGGCCAAGCAATACTACTTATATGACTGAAGCATATTAAAATATCACTCAATCTGATTATTTAATTTTAGAACTAATCGGATAGCCCCGGTAGCTT